CAGATGCCTATTATGTACTCTATTTATATCAAAGTATAAAATATAGTAAAAAATTTACAGATTCAATACATTTAAAAGTGATAATAAAACAGTTATTCTGGCCTACTAAAACTGTTAAACTTCAAATTTTAGTCTCTTTATAAGAATATTGTAGTAGCACTGAATCTCTATATAAATCTGCTTTAATTTAGAGTTTTTTGAACTCACAACATGACGTGTCATCAGTGATAGAATGGTAACACAAATATTTTAGAGGCTTTTGCACAAAAATAATCCCCAAGTGATGAAATCTCAGGACATTCTTATGCTCATACTAAAAAATAGCACAAAAATGACTCTTAAAAAATTACCTTGGAAAGCTGGAAATGATGCAGTCAATATTTTACTTTGGAAATTGGTCAGTATGTATTGACAGGTTTATAGAACCTAATTTTTTTAAGTGCAACACCAATCAATAATTGGCAAACAAAAGACAACTCAAGATATTAATTAAGATGGGTGCAGTGGCTCACACCTGTAATCCCAGCACTTTGGGAAGCCCAGGCGGGCAGATTACTCAAGGTCAGGAGTTTGAGACCTGCCTGTCCAATGTGGCGAAACCTCATCTCTACTGAAAATACAAAAGTAGCCAGGTGTGGTGGTGGGTGCCTATAATCCTAACTACTCAGGAGGTTGAGGCAGGATAATTGCTTGAACCCAGGAGGCAGAAGCTGCAGTGAGCCAAGACTGTACCACTGCACACCAGCCTGGGCAATAGAGCAAGACACCCCTCTCAAAAAAAAGAGAAAAAAGATGTTAATTATTTATTCAAATTATAGCAAGAGAAACTTTAGTCTATGTGCAACAAAAGGAACTTTCATAAAATTAATGAAAAACATAGCATAAATTATCTTTAGGATATATTTTTTATAAAATCACTTAAGTTGAATATTTAATTGCAGATTAATTTTATTTAACCTAAAATACAGGTAGTAAACTGATTTAACATTTGCTAACAAAAAATTTTTAATCATCCAGAAGATAATACAGTTAAATATATAAGTAACAGCATTAAATAAGCAAGCTGTTATATAATATTCAAGATTTCAGGTGGACTTATTCATATGTCAAAATAAATGTCATCAATTTATATAATACTAAGATTATCTAATTTAGAATGAGATTACCCAATTTTAGTGCAAGTAATATTTTTGTACTATTCGTGAATTCTAATTTTGTTAAGTACATCTATTAGCAAAATGCAGCAAATGTACATACTTACGGCACATCTCCCACCTCAGGAGATATTAACATATATTCTCTTGGAAAAACTGGTTTTAAAAATAATTGCAAAATTTAGTGACAGTTATAACCATAGTACAGACTAGATTTAAGTAATTTTATGTCCCATGCAACTGTTAAAAATTTTGACTAAAAACAGAAATCTGGACTCTACATGGGGCTTAATTTAATCTTGCTAACACTTTCCCCCCATATAAATATATATGTATGATTTACTCCTCTTTCCATACAAGCTGCTGGTAATGGTAACATTTTGCTATTGGCTCATTCATTATTGACATTTTTACTATAAGTTCTAATATTTTACTTTTATTTATTTTTATTTTATTTTTTATTTTTTATTTTTACTATAATTTATAATTTTCTTGAAACATTTTACTTCACAAAAAATTTGTTTTGTTTGAAAATCAAAATTCTACAAAATATCTGGCATGCAAAAGTACACTTTAGATGACTTTAGATGACACAATTATGAATTATTATGTAATCTGAGAAAACAGTTTCATAAACTAAAAAGAGATAATTTTACATCTGCCCCTTGGTGATATTTACTCAAACCACTGACTGTATTTTCAAGTATTAATTCTGAATGTAAAACTAAATTAACAACTTTCTTCCAACACGAATAAACAGTAGCACAGCAATTACTTAGATTAAGATATTTGTGTGATATAGAATAAGATATTTTACTTCATTTCCATTAGATACAAAACTATAATATTAAATTCTAGAACATAAAATTATTCTGCCAAACTATATGACCATTTCTAAAAGTTTACTCCCAATTTCTATAGCATCACTTTAGAAAACAGTGGTCTAAAAGATGGCTGTTATAAGTTTGCAGGTAAGAGAAATACATAGGCTTTAGTGAAAAGAAAAAAAAAGGCAAAGACAGAGTTGGAAGGGCTAACTAATGATTCACGCAGGACATCATATTTACATAGCCGTGACATTCTAATTAAGTAATGGTAATGACAAACAATGATAATAAAAGCATGTCAAAACATACATTATATGTATACTACACACGGAGCACGACATGTTTTTGTATGCTATGATTTAATTCTCACAGGCACCCTATGAAGTAGGTACCATTATTTTTAATTTCCATTTCACAGATGAAAAAACAAAGGCTGTTCTTTTCAGAGCCTATGCTTCTAACTGCAGTATTATTATTATTGTTATTATTAGAGATGGGGGTCTTGCTATGTTGCCCAGGCTGGACTTGAACTCCTGGGTCAAGCAATCCTCCTGCCTCAGAGTCCTGAGTATGGTGGGATTACAGGCAAGTACCACTATGCCTGGCTTACACTGTTTTTTGACCCAAAGTTTCCAATAGTCATTAATAGAAAATACACAGATGGGTAGTACAGATGGCATTACAGCTTAGGGATATAAGAAAATTCAAGCACTTTGGCCTTTCATGTGCTCCATAAATAGTAATAACAAAACCAAATTAATATGTGAAATAGGCAAATAAAATCCTTGCATTATAAAACGTAAAGGCCAGTTGAGACGAGTGATCTATTCTTCAAAGATTTAAAAATACATACTTAAAAAATATACAGATGAGATTCTATTTAAAAATAATGAGCTAAATGAGGCAGCTATGATTACTGCAAGACCTGGTATTTTCAGTATTGCTGATAATGTTTGAAAGATTAAGAGTAATTATGTCATGGATCATGGGATTTTAATGGGAAGGTACTGGTCAAAATGTCAAAGAAATTCTATAAATTATTATGATAAAGATAAAACTAGCCCCTGAAACTAACTGAAGGAAACTAACATCTGAAAGGAAACAGAAACATTCTGGTTATAAATTATTTCACCCAAGCCCATGCCATCACCACTGCAACATCAAGCACCAGTTTGGGCAAGAAGGCAAAAAATTATAAAGCATTTCAAAGAAATGATAAACACATTCAACATCAACTTCTTTCCCCAATGTTTAAAACCAATTTCTGGATCTTAGCAAGCAATTTTTGAGGGTGTAAAATGTGCTTTTGTATTTGGATATATCAATTATTTGACTGCACGGTGGAGAGGAATATAAAATTTAACTCCTGACCTTGTTACTAGCTATTTCGAATAAATTTTTATGTCTATAATCACAAACGTATTAGTTAGACTTTCAAATGTACGTAGCAATTCATTAATAACCTGCACTGCTGCCCAATACCACATGTCACACACAATTTTCTCATTTCCAGTGGGAATAATGAAGCAGCTCTCAATGATGAGGTCAAGCTAAAGTAAGAAAAAGGAAAACATGCAGCATTAAAACAGAAAAGCAGACTTCTTCAGTCATAGTTCAGGGCTTCCAGAGAAGAAAAACAGCTGAAAGTTATTATTCATGAAAGACTGTGTAAAATGAGGACATAAATAAAACACTAATTTATTCTCTTTTCTGGGTTAAATAAACAGCTCTGGCTGTGGGTGACTTGTTTGAGATTCCCTGCAATTCAAATAATGAATTCACATTTATTGAGCATCTACTATACACACCTCAATAAAAAATTGTCTCAATTTTGCATGTTCTACCTAATGGAGAGTCAAGCTTTACATAAAATATCTACCAAGAAACTGCATAGCACTACATATAAATGTTCTACTATTTCAATATAAAGAACCCTTGTCTGTAGCACTTCATAGATAATTCATATTTACTAAAATCACTATTTTTTAATTTGCATACACACCTTACAAGCCACTGAAAAAATACACACACACACACACACACACATACACGCACCCCTAAGGAGTGACCATCTCCCTGTTCTGCTATGACATGTTACAGAAGTTATGTGGCTGAAGAAAATTAATACATTATGGTCCCTGAGACAGGCATCTATCTTACTCACAGGAATCTACCTCTAAGGGTAAAGCAAAAGATGATCACATGATATAATGGAAAGAACATGAACATTTTATAGTATTGTTAGGATTGGGGCTGGCTCCATGCATGTATGATTCATGCAACTTCTTGGAAAGCTTGGTTTAATGATCTGCTGTTACCAGTTTGAAATTCTTACTAATTTCTTCAAAGGGGCCCTGCATCTTTCTTTTGCACTGGGCTCTGCAAATTATGTAGCCAATCCTAAATAATTATGGCTTTGAGTTACGATTTCACTGTGTAATATGTGTAAACTAAATCTGAGCCTTAGCTTCTTCATCTCTAATAAAGGAATAATACCCAATTTACAGGGTTGGTATTACAGGGAGTATTAGATGAGATACCATACATACGTGAAAGTGATAAGCACTGAGCATGCATATAGGCATGCAAAAGAGATGTGAAATGAAATGGAGATGGAACAGTTTTTATTTTTACTTTTAAGGATCCGAGACACATAGAAATTTACATATCATTAGAAACTACTATATAATTTGATGTAGTTGAAATTTAAACTTTAGGCTGGGCGCAATGGCTCATATCTGTAATCCCAGCACTTTGGGAGGCAGAGGCAAGCTCAGGAGTTCAAGGGGAGTCTGGCCAACATGGTGAAACCCTGTCTATAAAAAATACAAAAACTTAGCTGGGCTTGGTAGAATGTGTCTGTGGTACCTGCTACTAGGGAGGCTGAGGTGGGAGGATCACTTGAGCCCAGGGGGCAGAGTTTGCAGTGAGCCAAGATCACTGCACTCTGGCATGAGTGAAAGAGTGAGACTCTGTCTCAAAAAACAAACAAACAAACAAAAAAAACTTTAATACTTACAACCCATATATCTGTGGTGCAATTTCTAGTCTGTTCAAGTGCATGTAAAGCTCAATATCATGCTTCTTCAGTAGATGATCCTGGATCTGGTTGACTTTAGTGACAATAGCAACTGTTGGCCCTAAATCTTGTGGTCTAGCAAAGGGAATGGGAGTCATCAGTGTTTCTTTCCCCTAAAAACAGAAAAATTGAACATGTATTATTTAAATATGAAAGTAATAAATATATGGATGTCATTCTTTATCAACAACAGTTTAAACAAGAAGTCTTATTATCTGCCTACTACTCATTCTGTAAAAAAGGTGAAAGCACCATGCAATAATTATAATAGGAAGATGAAAAAGGGATTCACTAGAAATACTTTTTAGGAATATATTATTCATTCATATATGTGAGTAATTAAGATGACTGTTCAAAAGTCACATCTATTATGTTCCTTGATAAAATGAATGTCTTTGTTTTGCCTAAGCCACTTTTATAAAGCTGACTCAGTAATATCAGTACAAGTAGGTAAAATCAAGAACTGATAACCCTCACAGTTTAGTCACTGAGTTTCTCAACTGGCGTGACTCAGTTATAAAACACAAAATGGCCACTATAAGAAATGATCAATATTTAAATGTGTTCAAATTACTCTGCTCAAAATTTTGATGTTCATGTAAGTCTATGACTTCATTACATAACTTGCCAAGAACAAAAGGTTATTATTCCAAAAATATAAAGTAGTTTGCCAAATATGCTTACAGTAGCTTTTTACCTTCAACAACCCTTTCAGAATATAACATGTTGGTATATGAAGAAACACTTTATCACCTAGTGTAGGGGTCAACAAACTTTCCCTGTAAAGAGCCAGAGAGTAAATATTTTAGGCTTTACAAGTCATACAGTCTGTGCTGCAACTCTGCCACTGTAAGGACCATGCAGCCACAGACAATAAGTAAACAAATAGGAATGACAGTGTTCCAAAACATTTTATTTAAGGGCATGGAAGCTTAAATTTCATATTCTTTTCACATGTTCCAAAATACTGTTCTTCTTTTGATAGTTTTCTAACCATTTAAAAATGTGAAAACCATTCTTAACTCATAAGATGTATAAAAACAGATGGCAGGCCAAATTTGACCTACAGGCAGTAGGATGCCAACCTCTGAGCTGGCCAAAGGCATGAAAAACATCGATTACCTATTTCATTTTTTAAGAGATGGAATGAAGTGACTGAGTAATAATGGTTTCTAACCAGAATGCAATCAATTATACCAATATAAAGGAAATAAACCATACTGGAAACAATATGCCAAATTCTTTAACAGTATCCATTGCCAGAAGAATTTGTGACTTTTCCAATATTGTGTAATATAATGAGACAACCATAATGATCACTAAGATAGCAGAAGGGTTAGTTTAGAAATATAGTTAACTCAGCAATTCCACTTGTAGGTCTATAACAAGGTAAGTGAACACATGTTCATACAAAGCTTGTACATAAATGTTCAAAGTTATTCACAATAGCCAAAAGTGAAAATAACCGAAATGTCCATCGACTGATGTATGGATAAACAAAATATGGTATATCTATATAATGCAATATTATTCAGGCATAAAAAGAAATACTGGTACATGCCACAATATGAATGAACACTGAAAACATTATGCTAAGTGAAAGGAGTCAATCACAAATGGCAGTATATGATTCCACTTATATGAAATATCCAGAATCAACAAGTCCATAGAGACAGAAAGTATATTAATGATGTCAAGGCATGTAGGAATAGGGAAATGGAGAGTGACTGTTAATGGACATGCAGGATTTTTTTAGGTGATTAAGAAAATTTTGGAATTAGATAGCAGCGATGTTTGCCCAATCCTGTAAATATACTAAAAACCATTAAGAGTTTAATAGGTACATATTGTGCTATGTGAATTATAGAAAAATTAAAAATATAGTTAAAAATAAGAATAAGAGTAAGAGTAAGGAATATTGATGCTAAATGTATGAATTCAATAGCAATGCAGTGGTAAAAGCAAAACAACCTATTTGATATAGGTTTTACCTATGCACTTCAGTAATAATGTGTATACCAACTCACTAGGGTAGCAAGAGAAAGATTATAATAATTTTGTAACTAAGCACTTATTATGCTGCTTGATTCATATACACACATATCAAAATGTATTTATATGAAATTTTCACATTGCCTTTGTGTATCTGCCAATATGATTAGAAATATACTTAAATCCCCAGGCTCAATCTTATTCCACAGGTAATTTCATTTTGGTTATAGCAATAATAAGGGCTATATACTATTCTTTGGTTACATGTTGTTATTTATTTACAGCATTTGCTCCATCGCATACACTGAAAAGATCTGTACTATAAGATTTACCTTCTGACCATCATGCTCAAAAGTTGAAAACCAAGGTTCAGCAGTTTCCATAAGTTGTGAGAATACTGCACTAAAAATAAAACAAAATAACACAATGCTAGGTTTAACTTTCATTAAAATAATCACGGTATAAAAAAATAAAACAAAGAAAGTTTTTGTACTTACTAGGCATCATGTTCCAGATACTCAGGGTTCAAGAGAGTTTTCATTTCCTCACTTAAAAAAGCAATACAAGCAATCAAAATGTGTAATTTTTGAATAATTAAAGATGCAGAGTTTGCCTTATTCTATGTAAGACAACTTTCACATAATGTGTAAATGAAAAAAATTAGTCTTTTTTTAATGAAAAGAGCAACGCCATTAATAAATGATATGCTTTCTTTCTATAAAGATCAAAAACAAATCAGCTGCCTTGTCTATGCCACAATGAACTAATTATTCAAATAAATATAGAATGTGACAATATAGTTACTGGTCAAATATGCAATATCAAAACATTGATTTATTTTCTTTAACTGGATTTATTTTCGTTTTAACATCAATTTATCAGTGACAACACCTCTTAAGCATTTATTTTATTTTTTAACAGATTGAATCAGCTGAAGAAGCATGTCTAACACATTTAAAAGCTATTTTCAATCACCTATCTTTTCTTGTAAATTATATTCTACATGCACATTTTTTAAAGAGTTGCTGTCTGAAGAATACATTCACATGTTAAAAAAAAAAACTGGCAGGTGAGGCACGGTGGCTCACACCTGTAATCCCAATGCTTTGGGACGCTGAGGCAGGTGGATCATGAGGTCAAGATATCAAGACCATCCTGGCCAAGATGGTGAAACCCTATCTCTACTAAAAATACAAAAACTAGCTGGGCGAGGTGGTGCCTGCCTGTAGTCCCAGCTACTCAGGAGTCTGAGGCAGGAGAATCGCTTGGACCTGGGAGGCGGAGATTACAGTGAGCTGAGATAGCGCTGCTGCACTCCAGCACAGCTACAGAGCGAGACTCTGTCTCAAAAAAAAAGGCATTAAAACAGGATCCTAATGCTAACTTCATGATTACATTTTAGAATAACTGAAGTGAAAGCAAGTTAGATATGGTTATACTCTTGTCAAGATAAAAATAAAAACTCAGTAAAATTAGCAAAGCTTCAAGGAAACTTGAAAATACTAATCTATAAACTAGTAGACAAAAGTTAATTTAACAAAAGCCTGAATATATGCTCAGCAAAATGTATGGCTATACTTGATTAATAAAGATCTTATAATCAGATATGTGAAATGTTATCTGTGAGTTTTCCATTTACTGCATATAGATGGGCTGACCTGATGAATCCTCCTGGACACAAGCTGACAGTCCTAGACCCCTCCATTTCCAAAATTATTTTCGGAAGGCCCCAAAGTTAGGGTATCTTAAGTTAGAAAATTGAATTCTAACACTTAGCCTAAGTTGAATCCAATTACAAAAGTTATATGCAGGAAAGAATAAATGAATATATCTAAAAAATTTGAGAAGCAATTTTGCTTATTTACAGAGGGAGGTTCTTTGTGGCTCTGCTCCCTTACTTATTAAGCTAAGTCAAACCTGATGAGGAGAGATAATCTCATATATAAAGTCTTATTCAGCTTGGAGTGAAAAAGGGATCATTAGAGGATGATATATATGGATATCAATTATTAGAACTTCTGTGATTACAACAAAAATGTTCCATTCTTGATCCATTAGTTACATGTCTTCCTTTAGATTGAGAATCAAGATTTCCAAAGACATTTATGATTCCAAATTTGCCCTACAGCTAAACTGTCCTAACAACTATTAAGTAGAATTAACAATTAACCACAAGAAACACAATCAAATGTTTACAACTTATACAACTTGTAAGTACCTTCCATTTAAAAGATTTTGAGGTTTCAAAAACAAAGGTTACAGTGGGGACTAAAAAACAGATGGAGCTCATATTTAAAACAACAACAACTTGCCTGGGCTGTGCAGACTCACTGGCATGTAGAAAAGCTTGGTGGTCACAGTGAAGGACAAAGACTATAGGTGCTAACAGCTCGTGCATACCCTGAAATGAAAGAGCCAGACAAATGAAAGAGATGGATACTCAGGGTCCATTAGTGGACAGTATAAACTCAGTTAAATACTTCTTCAAACCAATTCCCACTAGCAAAATTTCTGTATAATATAGAAACACATAAATATGGAAAGCTACAAGATAAGATTTTTATCTACTTTTAGAATTTGATTCTAATTCAACCACCGCAGGTATTCTTCTTTAAAACATGGAGAGCAGTTCTCTTTTAAATGACATGACAAACAATAAATTGGCATGGTAGATAACCTTGCACCTGTCAGTTGCTTCAAGATCTGTACTCATAAATATGAATTTCATTTATGCAAATTATAATCATGAGCTACAGTGTTAAGATCTGCAGTAAGAAGGGCAACTAAGAACTGTAGACCTAAGGAAATTATATCCAATGTTTTCATTATATAATGGCTCAAAATTAGGATGTCTGTAGATTTAGGAAGCACTAAAGTCAGCCAGCTAGAAATGTTGGATAATAAAAAAAACAACCTTAAGAAGGTATGACAGAAAATAAACTTGTTAAAATAGGATTTAACATGTTTAATCAGAAAACTACCATAATTTTTTCCTGTCTACTTCAACTATAAGGTTAATTTCAATTTATTTAATGATCTCACCAATACGATTTTCCTCCTTATATTGGTTTTCACCAAAAATAGGTATAGAAACAAAAAGGCATAATATTAGTTACTAAGCTGTCCTTAAAAGGGTACTATAAAAATCTATTACTGATCCATTATTCTGGTGACATACGGTATTCCACATTATGACTACCTTTGCTAATTGAGATTTCTTTCCCCCTTAAGCATCAAAAAACATTTCAGCAAGTTAAAATAGATTATTATTTTTCCTGTCTCTTAAAGCGAGCAAATTACTACTTTCCTTTTGCTTAGTAACTAGGGATGCTCTTTTATAAAAAGACAAGACAAAATACTACTTTTAGAGGAAATATGAAAGCAGAAAGGAGATAAATCTTTTGCTAGTAGAATTAGAGATGGCTTCGTATATTGGATGAACGGAGTCACATAGTCCTCTGCACAGTCTAGTAGTAGCATACTATTCTTAGAAAGCCAATTGTTATCATAAAGATAATATGCAAGTTAACTTTTTCAGACTTCATATATAAGTTATCACTACTTTGAATTAAAAATATTTAGTTATATTTTTACAAAACAATTTATGATGCATTGACAATTTACTTGTGATTTAGGACGAATTACCACGTATCATTTCAATCTTTATAGGTAACCAACTCCTTATTAAACAAACCTTGAAAAAAATCTTTCAGATAACATGTTAGACACCTAGAAAAATGACATTGAGCATTACTAACTCTGCTTTAAAAATCATGAGGGGTTTATTCTCTTGGAATGGTCTCAAGTTACTCCAAAAAGAAAGTGCTGTAATTTTAATCATTAAAATAATAAGTATTATATCAATAGAAAAGTATGGAAAAGCAAAAACAAAAATAAAAAAAATGATAAAGGGAGAGAGGGAGGCCAGCCAAAAAACAAAACTTAAGAAATAAATTTAAAACTTCAGTAGATATCCTTGAGATCTTTTTTTTGCCTATTTCTCATGATTTCTCCAGAATTAAAGTCCTTGGAAGTAGAATTTCAGGGTAAAGGGGTAAAAATATGTGTTAACATCTGGTAGGATGTATACCATTAAGCTGTCTCCAGAAAGAATTCTCTCAGTGAAGAATATAAAAATCACTCTCTTACACATCCTCACCTATATTCAGAGTGTTTTTAAAAATTTTGTCAACTTTCACAGTTAAATTGTTATAGTTTATTTAAATGCTAGCAAGATTGAACCCCAAAATTTTATTGAACGTTTTTACTTAATAAATTGCCCTTTTTCTCCTGATGAAGTGTTTCCTTTCCTTGGTGATGTCTAATAGTTCTATACCAATTAAAGATATTAACCCTTTCTAATTGTTGTTACAAACATTTTACCATGCTTATCATTAGTCTTACTTTTGATTTCTATGATATATTATACTGACATTATACACTTTGGTCAATACAATAAATAATTCTTCATGGTTTCTATTTTGCCTTCATGTCTATAAGACCTTCCTCATGTTGAGATTAGGGAAGAATACAGTTGCCTTTTTTTTTCCCCCCAGTTAATTCTTCGCTCAACTGATATAAGTTTAGTTTTTGCCATAAAAATAAGTATGTTTTTCTAAAAAAGAATTATACCAATTTACTGATTAATCATTTCACCTTCAATAAATTCAATCTACTCGATAAGTTGAATAACTCATCTTCTCCCCAGAGTTCTGAAATGCCATATTTAGTAAAAAATAAATATTTAGCTTACATTTTTTCCAGGATTTTACTCTAGTACATTGGTTTGTATATTATTAACAATAATTGTACCATTATAAAGATTCAACCTTTAAAATATTAGAATATTTCCTATTTTCTACTCCTTTTCTTTTTTCAAACTTATCTTGATGATTCTTTTTTATTACAGGTTGTGTCATTACCATTTAGGTTAAACAAAATGGTAAACGAAACATTAAAATTTTTATTGGCATTGCATTGAAATTAACTTGAGGAGAGTATTTTTAAGAACATCAGATTTTCTAATCCAAAAAGCTGCAGAACTGTGTAGTGCTTGCTAGGTTTATCATGAGGTTTTCTTTCTTTGCTGTCAGTGGGATACCTTTTTGAAATAAAGAGTGCTTTTCCCCCAAAATAGATTTTAAAACAAGTTATGGCTAGTTTAATAAGAAAGACTTCTTGTCTAAATGAATCTTCCCAACTTCAAATATTCTCTTCCCTCTAGTTTCTGTGACACCACTCTGTCTAGATTCTCCATTTGTTCAAACATAATTCATCATTCACTTATTGCAAAAACTATTAAATGCCTGTATTTGCTGTGGACACAAAAGTGAATGAAGTGGGCAAGTTCCTAACATTGAGGGAGCTTGTAGTCTAGAGAGAAAGGAACAAAATAATAAAATAAGCACAGAAATGACTATACAGTAGTCCTCCATTATGTGCAGGAGATATATTCTAAGACCTTACAGTAGATGCCTAAAACTGTAAATAGTACTGAAAACTACATATACCATGCTGTTTTTATATAAACACGTGTATGACAAAGGTATTAAAATTATGATTTATTAAAGATTATAAATTAGGCACACTAAGATTAACAACAATTAATAAAAATAGAACAACTGTAACAATATAGTGTAACAATATCATGTGATTGTGGTCTCTCTCTCTCTCAAAATATTTTATTATACTGTACTCAACTGTTTTTGGATGATGGCTGGCTGCAGGTAACTGAAACCACAGAAAGTGAAACTGCAGGAAAGCGTGAACTACTGTACTGTACAGTACTGTAGGTAAGAATGGACACTGTACAACTGTGATTTCGTGTGTGTGTGTGTGTGTGTGTGTGTGTATACACATCCAGATCCTACCACAGGCCCAGCACAAAGAAAGTAATCACTACCTATTGACTGAATGAATGCAATATCTACCACTTAATATATCCACATAGTGAAAAAAGCTGAACTACAATATGAAAAAATGAATAGTATTAAATCATATTTCAAATCAATAAATAAAGGTGTTCTTGGCAGAATGGAAGTTAAGAGTCTTTTGAATACCATTAAAAACTATTTCACAAGTTCAGTTTTGACTTTCATCTAAAGTAGGGATTTTTTTTTTCAAATACTTAAAAGACATTTATATCAATTCAAGACTAGTAAAACCTGTTTAACAATTACAAATGGCAATTACATAGACATCTTTAAAAGAAAAGAGAAATACCAGAAATAATAATCATGAATTCAATATGCTTTAAATTTGACAAAGCATAATAAAAAATAATGTATTGACAGTATGCTTCTGGTTCCCAAAATGTGTATTTTGCTTCCACCTATATTGTCAGCATTTCTGCCTGCTTAAAAGCTTTTATCCCTGCTGGATTGTTAGTAGTCACTGCACTCCAAACTCATGCCAGTTGAAAATAAAGGTAACAAAGTTTTCATCATCAACAGCCTGTAGGTTCACAAAATTGAACCTGTTCTTTTATCTGCCTGTGTTCATTTAGCCCACCAAGCAGTCTTTATTAAAGCTAAGGCATCAGGCAGTCAAAGTTCATTAATACCATTTATATAATCTCGGCAATTTCAATTAACTCAGCAAGACATTCTACTACATGATAACAGTCTCATTAATTCAATAAAATCCCATAACTATTAACAATATGGTCGATGTTAAACGGGGTGTCACCTAGTACAAAATAATAGCTTTAACAGCTTGTGATGAAACTTAAGGTTCTTTTCTTAAATTTGATCTGGCTAAATATTCAGTCCTTCTACAGCAAGGTATTATTTTTCTGTAAAAAATCTATAGGATTTTAAACACATACAAAGAGTAATTAAATATTTTAAAATGACACCCAGGAGTAAGCTAATAATACTTTCTTATTCAGTAACTGATAGATTTTTGTCTTAATGGATCAAGAACATATCTTCCATATGACTGTGTAGTCTTCCATACAAACGCAGTGGGCCACATACATCACAAATGGTAGATGGAGTGTACAGTTATTATGTTTTTATTCCTTGTCCATAGAACTCGTTTCCATTATTATAAGACTCCTTAATCTATTTTTTCTTTCTCTAAAAAAATTGGAAAACAGACGAGTAATTTGGAATAATTTTATCCTGATTTGATTCACTATCATCAAGTCTTTTACTGTGGGGTATTTTCAAGTATTTAAAGGAAAAGAGGAAATAACAAAGAGATAAGGTTCACAACAAAAGCCAATATAATGAAAAGAGAGCAGAAAAACAAAATCCTGGAATTTTTGATAGAGATTTTAAGCTAATGAACTAATGCAGCAGAACCATTTACTCCCACACTTCATGTGAAGTGTGTTAACAATCTCCTTACAGTTTAAAGTCATTTTAAATGGGGTCTTCTGCTATTTGCTTCCAAAAGAATTCTACACTAACAGATTTTTCTTCCCCCAGTCTTCTTTTCGGTTTGTTTTTAGTCTTTTGACTTTTTATCTGACTTGTAGATGAGCCTACCTTGCTTGCGAGTCCCTTTCCTAGTCTGAGATTACAAAAAAATTTATCCCAAATCTTCTTCTAGTATTTTTATACACTTTTAGTTTTTATATTTATGTTTTTACACCATCTGGAATTTATTCTCCAATAAATGTATAATTTAATGGTTTTTCCAGATGGAAAGCCAAATATAGCAAGACAATATCCTTTTCTCTATTTTACTATATTCAGATCCCATATAAACTGAACCTGTTTCTAAACTGTTTCACTGAACAATGATCAATCCACATAATACTGTCACATTAGTTTGATCACAGAACCTTTATAGAAGTTTTAATATCTACATTTGCCATTCTCCCTTTCCCACAAATTCTATGGTAATTCCAATACATTTAATAATTATTATAATGATGATGATAATAAAAACAACCACAACTACCAACATGAACCTTTGCTTGGCACCAAATGTTAACTCTATAAAGTAATTACTATTATTACCCTCATCTGACAGATACAAAACTAAAGATTAAAAAAGTTAAGTAAATTGTCTAAGATTGTGAAGTTAGTAAATGAGAGAGCTGAGATTCAAACAAAGGAATTTGAGTCTACACTCAGTGCTTTTAATCCCTAAATTGTATTATCTCTGTTAAAATAAGTGTAACGTTTTTAGGCACTAAATTGAAAACAACTGTATCCAGTTTTTAAAAAAAACACGTTATCTTACTCAGGTTATCACTGGAATGATAATTCATTTAAACATAAAGCAGCAGTATTTTTATTTAAAGTCTTCTCATCCAAAAACATGCTATTTTTCTATTTATTTGATTCTTACTTTACATCCTTGAATAACTTATTTATTTATTTATTTATTTATTTATTTATTTATTTTTTGAGACAGGATCTCACTCTTTCGCCCAGGCTAGAGTGCAGTGAATCAATCACAGCTCACTGCAGCCTGAAACTCCTGGTCTCAAGGGATCCTCCCACCTCAGTCTCCCAAGTAGCTGAGACTATACGTGTGCACCACCATGACCAGCTAATTTTGTGGGGTTTTTTTGTAAAGACGGGGTTTCGACATGTTGCCCAGCCTGGTCGCAAACTCCTGGGCTCAGCCAATAACCCTGCCTCAGTCTTACAAAGTGCTGGGATTATAGGTGTAAGCCACTGCACCTGGCCTATAGTTTTCTTCATATATTTTTTGTATCTTTACTGTTAATTTTTTTCTAGACATGTTATAGCTTTTGGTTGCCCTTATAAATGCAATTTATTTTTCATTTCCAATTCTAGTAAGCTATTGTCAGCAGGTAATTAATACAGAAAAATATTACTACTGTTAAAAATAAGATAAAATTAGTTCCCTTGGATATTCTATGTATATACAATAATTAAAAATGTATGATTTAGTATATTTGTAGTCTGACATGTTTTACCATCCTTAAATCTAGTTTATTTCAAATTAAATACATTGCTTTTACCGTGTTTTCTATTATATTAAATTTAAGTTCAGTGGTCCTGAATTAGATATACATTATAACTTTTGATTATTAGAGATTTTAAGAATTTAGCTTGAATTCTCACTTCATTTGCATTTGGAGAAATACATAAAAATATCCAACTGTATTTTTATTAGAACACTATAAACTTAAATAAAAAATGTAAATACATCTGTATATATTAAATAACTTACATTTCAATAAAATAAAACAACCCAATAATCTTCTTTGCTTTAGTAATGAGTCAAATAACAGGGTAACAAAGGAACTAAATACACATTTCAAAAAATTTAAAGAAACATTCTGAAGTTCTATTACTGATAAGTTTTAAAGGGTAATAGGATACATGATTATTTTTTACATGACATGTCATATATTTATAAATGCTATACTGAAAAATAATATTTGTACATATAACTCTGAAATTTTATTAGTAGATTGCCTTCAAGGATGCTGTTTATAAACAAACTCCCAAAAGTTGAAAGAAAAGACTGAACACCTTAAAGGAGACAATTTGGTGGAATGTCTTATAATGAGGAAGAAGCATATGTGCTTCAATGAGCTTACCTTTCTCACCATGCAGCTGACAAGCAGCTCTCTGATTGCTTTAGCATTATGATACAACTTTGGATACAATAAAGGCTACATTATTGCTCTATCATTTGTCAAGCTGTATAGAAAATTTTGAGTCAATGGATGCCACCTGTAAGATATTTTCATTACCTGTTTATAAAGCAACTGCTCGTTTTCTCTGGCATAACAGAAAAGAACATCTGTAAGAATTTTTCTCACATTTTCTTGTTGGAAAAACTGCATTTCAGGAAACCTGGAAAAGGAAAATACAAAATTGAAACTGACTAACACAGTTTCAAGAATCATTCTCAAATTCTAATCTCGAAGACGTGACAAGGGCAGCTTCAGATTTTAGAACAAGCCTGTGTTTGCCATGCAACTTATGCCTTTGGTGGGGAATGAAAAAGGGGTGAGGCAAGGGGAAATAATTATATCCCAGAGGTAAATGACATCCTTCAATATATTCACATTTCAAAATTTTACACATGCTTCATATACTTCATACATGTGTGAATATGATAGTTTTTGAATTATATTGTACCTATCTGCGGATGGGGATTTGCTTTGTTTTAGCCCATTGGTTTTTAGGATAAGAATGTGATTTTGTAAAAGTACTAATTTTTTTCAAAAAAAGATTGTCATTCTTTTTTCTTGATGTAAAATATTGACACTTCAGTTATTACATATAACCAAGCTATCAGCTTTTCATCTGATTAAAATATAGACTTCTAAATATTTCTTTATAATGCAGTAAAACACCACAACTGCAAGAACCCAGAGAAAACCCACAGCAACACAATACACAATCAATGTATAAGGGCTGAGGGAATGTCATCTAGTAGTAGTAGTCAACTGGGTTTAATCACAGAGTTTGAATGATAATTTTTAGGAGAGGAGGAACATGGATCATCAGTGGAAAAGGTAATCAAAACAGAAAGAAAGATATGAAGGCACAGGAGGCAATGGGTATTTCAAGAGTGCAGCATAACATGGTAATTATTAATCAGAAGGAAAAGACAATTCCATGAAATACTGCCTGCTGGGAGCAGGACAGTGGGATAGAAGAAAAGGTGGAGCAAGGCTGGAAAGAACTTTGAATGCTGAATTTCCAACTACGGAAACACAGCACAGTAAATCTATATTTGTGAATAAAGAAGTGATAAAGAAAACAGTATTTTAATTTAACTCTATGGAGGAATAAACCTGAAAGAGTAGCATAGGAAGGACATAAGAGTACATTATAGTAAAGTGAAATTTAAAAGTCCTAAACCCAAGTAGAAAAGGCTGTGTTCAAATTCATGTTGCATAATTTCTAGTTATGAAACCCTGAGTGAATGATTGCTTAAATGCCTCATCTATTAAGAAGGGATAACAATACTGATCTTGTGATCAAGATGCAATCATATGAGAGCACCAAGAACAGTGCCTGACAAGTAGTAGATATTCAGGAATGGAAGCCATTATTATAATAGTATTTGAGTAATGATACTTTAGATAATGAGATTGCAAATCAGGTGGCTTTGGAACTAAAAATTGAGAGAAAACGTGAGAGAGTAGAGAGGAAGATGACCTAGAGCATGAAGGCATACAGCATTACTGAAACAGAAAAATATTCCTTAATGAGTCTTTTAAGAGCAATAGTGGCTGTTTTACATCATATTATAATGGTTTACTGCCTCCCATTTCTGGAGACCTCCGCTATTTTATGCTTCACTCTGCTACTTTGTTGGTGCCTTGGACAGTTATAACTTTCTAGTCCAAGCTAGGTTTTCGGTGAATTATGCTAGAGATCTGTGAAGCATCTTTTTTTCTGGTCCTAATTTTTTAAATACATTAAGGCCCATTTTACCTTCATCTGTTCATTTGACTTTTGCTTACAACTCCGTTCTGCAACTGCCCACACAGGTTTCGTTTGGTTTTTGTTTTTGTTGTTTGTTTGTTTTGTTTTGTTTTGCCTTTTCTGTGGCAGCAAGGAAGCCTCTTTTTGGGGGGCCAGTAAACAACCTAAGGATCTGAGCAAGCTTGCTTCACATATTTGCATAAAGCTTAATGTGATGATCTCCCTATCCAGGCATCACAGTTCAAATAGGGGTGGCATAATTAACTTCTAAAGAAGAGAAAAATTAACCTGAAGAGTAAGCATATGTCAGAGAGGCCAAAGAAACTGCAGAATAATGTCAAATGCACTGAAGTAGGAAAGAAACACAAAAACTTTTAAAATGACATTTTGGAACAAAAGAAAGTTACTAGAGCCTTTAAAAATCAAATATCCCAAATTAAAGTAATCAGGATAAAAGATAAGTAGTTAATAAAACAACTTGGTATAGAGAAATTTCTTGGGAAACTTAGCCATTAAGTTAAGAACAGAATAATCCTTTTGAGAGGTGAAATTTTCTCTCCTTCTCATTATATAACATAAATTTAACTCTATCTTTGAGTAGGCTTCATTCCCAAAAATCTGGATCACCTGACTTAATAACTTTGCATGTCCCCTTCCCTCACCTATTCTTTGGAAATTTTCTACGCACACTGGCACAACCAAATTCTGTGTAGCCGTTACAATCTAAAATTGATTATGATGAAAGTACTAAAAACTGCTACATTAACTTTGCAAAGAGTATCCATAAATTAAATCCATAATTTAATACCTAAAAACTAAAAATGTAAAGTATACTTGTTAAGTCAACTTTAGCCTGAAGCTGCCTCCTTACATATTTTAAGTTCAGCCTAAAAGTTTCTCTGTATATTGTGAACTGTAAACAAGTGGAGCTGTAAACAGACCGTAGCCTACATGTCTGCCAATCATCGAGTTTTGGCCAATCAAATGTAGCCAACTGCTCAACCCATGTTCAAATAAGGCAAACACCAACCTGTGACCAATCCAGCTGTTTCTGTACCTCACTTCTGTTATCTGTATGTCACTTTCCTTTTTCTGTCTATAAATCTTCCACCATGTGACTGTGCTGGCGTCTCTGAGCCTACTCTGACTCGGAAGGCTGCCCGATTCACAAATCGTTCATTGCTCAATTAAACTTCATTAAATTTAATTCGGCTGAAGTTTTTCTTTTAACACACTATATACCAATACCTGGTTTCATTTAAATGCATACTAACCACGTTCAAGATTAAAAACTACAGATCTACAAGAATTCAATTGCAAGTAGTAATTTAAATTGCCTACTTTTAGGAAACATCAAATCAATTGAAAATGTGTATTATGCAGACATAGCATATCTATGCAACAGCACACCAACTATGATTCTGCTCTACAATGCTGAAGTGCTAATTTGTGAAGTTTCTTGGCACTCTCTTTGTTAGAAAACTATAATTTGTTCATTAAATGATGAAGAATCCATTGCATCAAATAAGTAAGGTAGAAAGATACAGAAAAGTTCTGAAAAAGAAGTAAAGTTTTCAAAACTATTTCAAAAGTTGGAAAAAGAACTGAAAATCAGAGTTTTGTGCTGAGTCTTTGGAAATTATCCAGTCCAACTCAGAGATTAACAGGCAAGTAAACAGAAGCACAGAGGAATAATACCTCTGCCAATGTATCTGGATAGTTAACAGAACAGCAGCACTTTCCAATTGCTTCCCTAATCGGTTATAAATTAATCTGAGAAATGCATTTAGGTAAAACTCCATGACTTTAGAGTTACACATAAGAACCTAGCTCTGAAGGTTGATGAATATACCTAGATAATAACATATTTCCTACAAAAAAATACTTGATGGTCACAGTATCAGGATTCAATCTAGAAGATGTTACATTTATAGGTATAAGAAATATGAGAGAAAAGTACAGTGACAGTGTATCTAGGAATAGTAATACTCTGTTTTTGATGATATGTTGTAAGTTTCAAAATAGCTTCCCTACCACTCATTAAACTTCTAGGTTTTATTTACCTCATGCTAGATGGTGTGGATTCAGGCTAGGTAACGTAATTTGAACATCATTGTAACCCAAGTTATCATTGGAAAGGCAAATCTGTTTTTGAAACATAATTAAAAGCACAGAATACTAACAACACTAGATGCAACAATCATTCAGGTTTTGAAAAATCAACAATGACTCTACAGTTTCATGGAAATAAGAGAGAAATTTAGAATTAAAACTGTAGAGGTTCATAATTTATTCAAACCAAAATATCTGGTAGGAAAATAAAACAGAAAGGAAAAAAAAAAACTCACACTAAGTAGGAACTGGAAACAAATTTTATTATTAACAGAAAGTCTTTCTTTCTACATTTGTCCATAAAATAAAAATTGAGATGTAAAACAGGTGAGGGTAAAACTCTAAAAATAGAGATGAACAGCAAAGATTAAGTAGTCCATAATGGAATTTAGACTAAAATAGTCTTAAATCTTTACTTTAGGGTAAAAGTCGTATTTCAGTTTAGACTCAACTGATCAGTATTTAAGTTTCTCTCTCAGATGTGTAAAGAAACTGTATTTAAACAAATTTTACACAGTACACAGTAATAGTAAGAGCCATCACAAACATTGGGTGTGTAAGTTTGTTTTCTACCTTGAAATAAACCAAAATTGGTAGGCAACATAGGTTTCATTATAAGTTTTAAAAATCTTTCATTACGGAAAATTCAAACATTTATAAAGAAAAGACAACAGTAAACTGAACCCCAATCTACCCATTAGCTAGTTTCATGACTTATCATTTGTTTTACATATATTCCTCCCCAATATTGCATTATTTTGAAGCTAATCCCAGACATCATTATATCTATAAATACTGCAATGTGTATTTCTAAAAGACAAGCACACTTTAAAAACATAACCATAGGCCAGGTGAAGGGGCTTACACCTATAATCCCAGCACTTTGAAAGGCCAAGGCGGGAGGATCACTTGAGCCCAGGAGTTTGAGAACAGCCTGGGCAACACAGTGAGACCCTGCCTTAAAAAAAAAAAAAAAAGTAAAAATAAATTAGCTGGGTATGTTGGCACACACCTGTAGTCCCAGCTACTTGGGAGGCTGAGGTGGGAGGATCACTTGAGCCTCAGAAGTTAGAGGCTGCAGTGGGCCATGTTTGCACCACTGCACTTTAGCCTAGGCAAGAGAACAAGACCCTGTCTCAAAGAACAAAACAAACAAACAAACAAACAAAAAAAGCAAAAAAAAATCCCATAGTGCCATTGTAACATTACTAATAATAAAAATAATAATCAATCAAATATCCACTAAATGTTCAAATTTCTGTGACTGTCCAAAAATTCTTAATACTTTTTTAAGAGCCAAG